ACCTCAGGGCATAAACAAGGGTCACGGACACCATTTTCATGTTCAATGTGTCTAAACCACTTGTAATTCGGTGTTTGGGAGTGTTTATAATGTCTTTCGTCCAAAAGAGGCGCATTTCAATTTTCTCCCATTGACTTATAATGGGGATGTCGCAAAATTGACCTGACCTTAGGTCATCGATATCAAAATTCTGAGATATACATTTTGTACGTGCTATTGCTCTTAGCAATCGCTGAAAGTTTCAAAGCGATCGGTCACTCGGTGTAGCTATGACAGACATTGAAACATTTTATGAGGTGAGGTCACTTCAAGTGACCTGGTGACCTGACCTTGAATGACCTTGGTCTGAAATTTTCACAACATGTGTAGAATTGATGTATGATAAGGTGTACCAAAAACGGCGGCGCTCCGCGCCGCCGTTTTTGAGATATTCGCGAAAAACCACAAGGGGGGTGTTCAAACACCCCCCAGCAGGGCGCGGGTCAACCCGCGCCGGGCCGGTGCTCTGAGATTCCGCGCCGGGCCGTGGGGGGTGTCTAAACACCCCCCCCCCGTCTAACTCGGCTCCTGGGCCACGTAGCGACACGCGGTAAGCGGCAATCGAAAGAACGTCCAAAATAAGGACGAAAACACTTGGTCATGTTTTGGGCCAGGTCAAAGATCAGGTCACCAGTGACCAGAGGTCACCAAAGGTAAAATGTTGACTATTTCAACAATTTAGAAACTGCCAACGGTTATCTCGGGAACCGATAGAGCTACAGTGCCGCAGAAAAGCGCATTCGATAGCCCTTTTACAGACCTTTCTGAATAATGTCCTCAGATTTGACCTCAGGTCAACGGTTTAGCCTCCAGAGGGCAACAGCTCCAAAAATAGCCGTTTTCACGAAAAGTTTTTTCGGCAATAACTTTTGACTCAAAAGAGTCATGACATTACTTTTGCCAGTATCGTGTTCTTCTCGTCGAGACGCGTCGAATGAACTATAATTTGACCTTGAAAGGTCAACTTGAAAATTTGACCTCAGGTCAAGGTCATGACCTGACCGGAATAGGCCATGTTGCATATCAGTCGATTTGCAACGTCGAGCCAAACACATCTAAGGAGTTTTCAGCGCTCTAGCACGCCTCTATCAGAAGTTATTAGCGAAAAACTGTTAGATTCTGTTCGTGACCTGAGATGACCTCGGGGACATAACGAGGGGTCACAGTTGCCATTTTCCGGTTCAGTGTGTCAATTTTACTTACACCTCGATGTTTGATAGTGTCTAGAATAACGTCCGTGCAAAACAGACGCTTTTCAATTTTCTCCCATTGACTTATAATGGAGAGGCCGCAAAATTGACCTGACCTTAGGTCACCGATATCAAAATTCCGAGATAAACATTTTATAGATTGTGTTGCTCTTATCAATCGCTGAAAGTTTCAAGGCAATCGATCAATCGGTGTAGCTAGGACGAGCATTCTTATTTTTTTCTGAGGTGAGGTCACTTGTCGTGACGACCGTTGACCTGACCTAAGGCGACCTGGGTCTGAAATTTTCGCAACATGTGGGGAAAAGATGCACAAACAGGTGTGCCAAAAACGGCGGCGTGGAGCGCCGCCGTTTTTTAGATATCTGCGAAAAACCGCAAGGGGGTGTTCAAACACTCCCGGCCCGGCGCGGGCCATGAATTGGCCATGAAATATACATAACTCTTAATTCTATCAAAACACCTGAGCATATGTCAGAGAAATACGTACAAAAGGCAGATTGCACTTCTCAGACAAATTGGTCCAAAATTGTTGGGTTTATTGGTATTTTAGTGACGTTGTGACGCCTTAATTAAACCAAATGTGTTTTCAGTTGTACCCCTTGTACAGAAATGCAAATAGCACCAATCGATTAGCCGTGAAAAACTGCGTCAGATAGACACCTTTTCCTGGTCTTAAAAACAAATCTCAAAATTTGACCTTACAAGATTTCACATTGACCTGAGCTCGACCTAAACTTTATCAAAATATTGTTCATATCACTAATTGAGTATGCCCATTGAGTTCCATAAGTAAAATGATCGATTGAACATGCGCACAAATCCTATCCTGAAGTTCGTTTCTGATGCCCGACCTGACCTTGACCTTGAATTTGTATGACATTTTATGCAAGGAATCTTGTCTTGGTAGGTTAAGAGCTCGTTTTGAGTGATCAACCTCAGTCCATTCTTCGACAGCTGGGCTCCAAAGCAAGTAGTGTAGAACCTTGCAGTGTTTGTGTGTACGTATTTATGGTCATGAGCGATCCACACCTCGCGTGGTGATTTCTGGTTTAAGCCATTGACCTAACCTTGACCTGAACTATGACTTACTCAGGCAAAAGTGGTTGCTCTAAACATCCGCCTTGTTACGAGCTTTCGATTGATGTATCCCCGTCTTTCTGCAACCAAACGTTTGGAAGTTAGACAGGGGGACAGAATCTGCTTCCTGTCACAGGTCACAGATTAGATCAAGGTCAGATCAAGGGTACTAAAACTGCAAGTTTCTACATAGCTGGCTTTGGAGTCCAGCGAAAAATGGACCGAGATTGATCACCCAGAATGTGCTTATAAGCTACCACGACAGCATGTATTGCATACAATATCATGCAAAAGTTAAAGTCACGGTCAGGTCAGGTCACCCAAAACGAGCTGTTGAATGGGAATCGTGTGACGCATGTTTATGGGTCATTTTACTCAAAGAATTCAAAGACTTTATGCTCAATTAGTGATTTGGACTATTGGATGACGTCCAGGTACCTAGAGGTCAGGCCAAGGTCAGTTCAGGTAACAAATATAAGATGAGTTTTTGAAAATGAATGTTCGCATCATAGCGCGCCGCTTACATATTCATACTTGGCTTGATCATTTTGCACGCAAACTTTTATTTCTTTGCTATGTACGTACTTACACAGTGGCGTGCAATAAGAATGTAGGCAATTTTCTGATGCGGCTCTTTTCGCGGTTCACCTGCGATCAGCAGAGCGGCAATCTCGTATGGACATGTAAGGCCGGCTGCGGAGCCGGACTGAATGTGCCCAGTGGCGAGGAAAGAGCCGATGAGAGCCGCCGAAAGGCCGGCAGTGCGCCTGACGGCCGCTGGCACAAAGGCCGCAGCGTGGGGCGTGCACAAAAGAATGCAGATAACGTCCACCTCTGGGGTAATAGCATGGCTGTGTGAAAAAAAAAGAAACTGAAGACCGCTACTGAAAGCATGTATGACAGATGCAGTGTATAATATCACTGCCTTTCGACCAGAATAAAGATCAATAGCATCCATGGTTTCTCGCGTTTTTTGGCGACAACCTGGCCTTTACCTGGTTTAGTTACTTCAACAGCCGGTCAGTAAACTGCTATTCGTCAGCCATTTGGCCCTCGTGACTGGCAACTTTTGCTGACAATCAACATTTGATTAAATCATAATCACCTAAACCTATAGTGACTACTGACTTCTTCTCTCACGTCTCACAGAATGAGCGATAGTTAATTGTTACGGTGTTCTGGCTGCTAATTCACCAATCACTTGTAGGGGAAGATGGGGGAACACCACCCACCCCGATATCAGAAATATAAAAAGGTCCGTAGGGCGATAGCTGACTGTCTTTTGGCAGCGTGATGACAATAGAAGTGCAGGTATGGGCAGTGCACCGCATTGGCTTAGGTGATTTGCGAGAAATTTCCAATTTTAGGTACGTTTCGTGAATGCGTTTTATATTTTTTTTTTCTAGCGTAATAGGCAGAAGAAAACTGATCATAGGTATTTGACAGCCATTAGTTCTGAAGTAGTATTTTATGCCATAATTAGGACTCATCCAAGCATTACGTGCTCCTGCTCGAGCGAAATTTTTGTCGTGCTGCCATATTGAAGGATTTTTTGAAAAAAATGCAGACACTTGGGTAATAGAGATGTCAATCGGATACCAATTTTTTGGTATACCGATACCAAACCGATACCAACTTGGTATTTGGTATTTCAATCGTAATGTGTTTGGTATTTTGTTAGTATCATGAACCTCAATAATGTATAAAAGGCTAAGATATCGGTATAAAGTTGGTATTAGCCGTTTTCACGACGGCCATCTGGTACACATTTGGTGCACATCTGGTGCAGATCAGGTGCAGATTTGGTCAAATCAGGTTCAGTGTGTCTCTTAGTAGCTATCAGCTTAGGGTTGCACTAATTGCTTATATGCCCGCTTTGTCATATCATCAGACAGTATCATCGATTAAAACACTGAAATAAATTCATAAAATAAAGATATTTGCTGTAAAAGAGATTAGGTGCAGATTTGGTCAAATCGGGTGCACTCGCCGGATAACCCGTCGTGAAAACGGCTATTTCCCTCATTTTTCAAAGTTGGTTTGGTTTCGGTATTTCCCCATGGGTTTGGTTGGTATTTGGTTTGGTATCGGTATTCAGATTTGCCGTAATCGACATCACTATTGGGTAACACCGCCCACTTGGGAAATTCGGTATTTAAAAGCACATGACACCTAACCCAGGAGTGGCGCATTTCAAATAAAGAAAGAACATTGTTACTATGTTTTCTTTTATGAGGATACCTAATGAAAAATTTCGAGAAAATGAAATTTAGAGACTTTAAGTCGTCTTGTTATATTATACATTGTTCCAGGGATAAAATAAAATCGTTTCGACTGTGTTTTATAATTATACTAAAACGCCTCGAAATTTACGATAAGAAGAACAACTTAATAGTCCAGCAATCTGCAAATTTCGTTGTCTGCTGAGCTCGGGCGGTGTTACTCAACGGTCGGTGTTACCCCGAAAAATGTAGACATTTACTGAATGTGGAATAATGCAATTATGAACAATAAGAAAACATTTGGTTGATGTATGTAAAATTGATGCGACAATCCAATGAAACTGAGAGATTGATCATTTGGCCAAAGATTACGTGACTAGACCCTAAAAGGTTAAGGGTGTCGGTGTTCCCCCGTCTTCCCCTAAAGTAAGTCTGAGTTACGTGCAGTTGACATGTGCGCAGTGATTTTTATTTCCTATAACCATGCATGAGTGACATTTTCGCATCCACCATTCCAGCTGTTGCAATGCCCACGCAGGCAGCTGGAAAGCGGTGCCTTTGCTTAGTCAGACGCCACATATTCACTGCGCGATCGACGAGCGTGCTACGTTCGTTGAAATCGCCAGCAGTCAGCGCACCATCGGTTCGGCACAGCCGCGACAGCCGCCCCGTGGCGCCCCCTGAGCAGGTGCGAGAGACGGGATCGGGTGCCCGACCGGGACGCCATCTATTGGACCGGTGTGTCCCTGCGACGATAGGTCACACACTGCTCGGCTGCAGTGTCCAACAAGGCGCCAGTCATGCGCAAATTCCGGTCAAAGGGATATTTGACAATTGTATCTTGTCACATGGGTTTTGTTAAAGGTGAAACTTGTACCACTGTCTGTAAATAATAAAATAAAATATACACCCGATCTACAACACGGCCGCCAGAATGTCCTCCTCCTCTTCCTCAGCCGGCGCGGGTGGCGCCGGGGCGGCCGACACTGGCTCTGGGTCAGACGACTCAGCAGCGGCGGCGGCGGGGTCACTGCCGACGGACTGGACAAGTGCCAGCTCCTCCTCAGTCCCCGCACTGTCCACCGCCTCCGCTGAGCTGAGGTCGCTGACCTCCGCTACCGTCGAGTCCACGGCGTCGCTCACGCTCGTCTGCACGGTGTACTCTTTCGTGTCCTCGGTCTGAGGAGCCTCGACCAGCACGGATACCCCCTCAGAGCTCACAGCGGGCTCGGCAGCCACTTGGGCAGCCACCTCAGCAGCAACATCGGCCACTTCAGCAGCTCCATCAGCCACCTCGGTAACCACTTCAGCAGCTACATCAGCCACTTCGGCGGCTTTATCAGCCACTTCGGCAGCTCCATCGGCCGCTTCAGCAGCTCCATCAGCCACTTCGGCGGCTACACCAGTCTCGGCAGCAGCCTTCTCAGAGGCGACTATTTCTTCAAGAGTCTCCTCGCCGCCCAGAAGTTCTGCGACCGATGCAGTCACGTCTTCCTCACCGGTGGCGGGAACCGCCTCAGGAGCCATCTGCTCCTCTCCAGCGCTCTCTGCTGTCACGTCGGGCTCGACGGCGCCTGTGACATCCTCATTCTCACCGACCGGGGCCCCGGAAACAGCCGTGGAGACGGTTACTTTGATGGGGTCGGCGTCGACCTCAGCGGCAACCACCGGAGATTCGTCCGGAGTGACCTCACTGGCGACATCGGAGCCGTCGATGGCATTGCTTTCGGCGGCCTTGGCCTGTTCCAGGTCCGCCTCCGCGGTGACAATTTCCTCCGCCTGCTCGGGGATGGACTGAGGCGGCTCCTGGCTGAGTGCCTCTTCCTGTTGGGCGGGTTCTGCCTCCTGCTGGGCGGGTTCTGCCTCCTGCTGGGTGGGTTCCGTCTCCTGCTGGGCAGGTTCTGCCTCCTGCTGGGTGGGTTCCGTCTCCCGCTCAGTCAGCTCGGGAGCGGCAGGTGCAGCAGCGTCCTCAGAAGCAGTGGCCTCGGCGGGGACAGCCTCTGCGGAGCTCGGGGGCTCGTCGGCAGCCACCGACTCGGCCTCTGCCTCCTCCTGGCTCTTGGTGGGTGTCTCCTGGATGACTACCTCCGGCTCGGCGGAGGTGGGCGGCGCCCCGCTGGCTCCCGGCGCCGTCTGAGAGCTGGCCTTCTCCGCGGCGCCTTCTGCCGAGTCCGTCTCCTGTGGACTGGGCTCCTCCGATGGCTGGGCAGCCTCTGCAGACGCCGCCTCCGCCTCCGACTCGGTGGCGGCGGTATCTGAAATGTCACCGGCTTACGTCAGCGGGCAGGATCGATTAGAGCAGACACCGTGATAATGAAGCGATACGTCGGACATTAATTAAGAGTTGCCGTGATGAGGAACACAACCGGTAGCGATAAAATAAATTGGATGACAGGACATATTGAAATTAGCATTAGCAACTTAATCGGCTGAATATAGTATATGATTGTCCAATGTATACCAATTGTCCGGCCGGACATTCAGGCCTGTGTTGGACATCCGGGCAGGTTTGAATGCGAAGGCACTAAATGCATCGGATGACCGATACTTTCACCCACAGCTAAGCCGGGCACATCAGCGAAACTTGGGCCGCTCAACAGGCTTGTCAGATGCACAGGAAATCGTCATGACAGAAGCGGCCTAAGCAACCACTTTCTACCGTCGCTTCGTGGAAAGGGAAAGGTGAGTGCATTGTGCAAATGTCCAACAATGAGCCATGCGCTGTCCTGACTGCCTTGGCATGTAGTTCGGCCGGAGATGGGCTTACAATGACAGAGAGATACATAAATCAATGACAAGTAAACGCCACGTACCATTCAGTTGGAGACTGCGCGACTGTCCGTAGGCTCTGTAGACGGTCAGGCCGGGGCGGACCTGCTCCAATCCGCTGCCATCGTCCACGGGCGCTGATTGGCAGACGTACGCCAGCAGCAACACCTGTCGATAGGAGACGAACACAACACCGCACATCAGCTTCAATCGAATACGAGCTGCACGATACCGAGCAGGAAACTTTACTTAGATGTTGCAATATTCTGCAATTGAATGATTAATCACTGATATTAAGCACCTCAAATCGCTGTACATACCTCATCTGATTCTGATCCGCATGAAAATATCACTACCGGCTGGTCAGACAACTTATTGCAACATGAGCTCGATACCAGTATAGATACCTACACATATGCGTATAATATTTTCCGTGCGCAGCAGACATGCATAAATCCACACCGAAGGCAGGCACACACAACGGCACGCAGACTGTCACCCAGACCGTCCCGTCCGTCGTCCCCGGGGCGCTCAGCGAGATGTCATTACCTCGGGCCGAGCCGGGGAAGCCGACCCGGGGCGGAAGGGCTGATTGGTGCCGATGTCGCCAACCAATCGGCCCGGCTCACCGGCCCGGCACGCCAGGAATAGAGCGCCGGCTATTGTTGGAGTGGGCTGCTACCACGCGCGGGAGCCCGGTATTCCCTGCCCAGATCGAGTTACTCTGTGCTGCCCACAACATTTGCGAAAATCCAGTATACTTCCTTCCTATAGGTAATGATGATAATAGCCGTTTTCACGACGGACTATCCGGCGAAGGCACCTGACTTGACCAAATCTGCACCTAATTTCTTTTACAGCAAATATCTTCATTTTATGAATTTATTTCAGTGTTTTAATCGATGATGCTCTCTGATAATATGACAAAGCAGGCATATAAGCAATTAGTGCAACAATAGCTGATAGCTGCTAAGACTTAAGAGATACACTGAACCCGATTTGACCAAATCTGCACCTAATCTGTACCAGATGTGCACCAAATGTGTACCAGATGGCCGTCGTGAAAACGGCTAATCTTTCACCAGGTCCAGATAAGCCTGTTCCCCTTTTCTTTTGTCGGTTACAAATGTTTTTTCTTCTTCTTAATAATCGCACTAGGAGTGATATATAGGTACCTTAGCCGATATAAGCCGCTTTCACGACGACCATCTGGGACTTACACATTTGGTGCAGATTAGGTGCATATTTGGTGCAGATTTGGTCAAATTAGGTTCATTGTGTTTCTTATAAGTCGTCAGTTTGGGCTGCACAGATGCCTATAGACCTCATTTGTTTTTTTTTTTCAAATGATCAGTCTTTATTTTGTATTAAAACACTGAAATATATTCATTATATGAAGATATTTATTGTTAAAGAGATTTGGCGTGAATTTGGTCAAATTAGGTAGTTTCGCCAGACAGCCCGTCGTGAAAACGGCTATTTAAAGCGGGAACACTGTTGAATGGCTGACGGGAGGTGAATGGTGTGTTGTACCATTCAATAATGGGACGAACATCTCCCATTTCCCGATACACTAACGGAGCAGAGAAATAACACAACGGAGGAGGAAATTCAGCGGAGGGAGGTAGCCGCTTGCTTCCGCCGGCTGCCCAAGTTTGGACGGGAGTCATCTATTTGCAAGGAGGAACACCACGGCCGCCGTTGCATTGAAGAAGCTGCGCTGTATCGACCTCGTCCGATCGTCAATCACCCTTCTTTAATCAATCACCGGGGAGGCCCGTCCCGAACAAACTGCACAAAAAACACTCGCGCGGGAGGATATGCCTTCAGGCACGCTAAAAACATTGGCTTCTGACTATCTTCCTTCTAGACTAAACTGGTTGGTTAATTATCCACCTCCATTGTCTACTGTCCTTGGCGTTACGACAGACTTGCCCCAGCCTTACAGCCCTCTTGCTGATATAGGACAGCTTGACCCCATGGTCTAGGCACGGCTATTTGCTGTCCTTGGACGCGCACATTTACCTCAGTCCGTCCACTGTGTCCTCAGCTGACTGAGGACCCCCCAGCCCAGTCACCATCTAACCGTACATACATACACTTGTTCTTGTTCACCTGCTCAATGTCCAGCCCTGGACAGACAACGCTGTAGGATGCCACACCTGTCCCGACTGACCGGACCGGCAGTACCGCCGCCCCTCCCCCGCTCTCTCCTGACCTGCCCTGATGAGTGAGTGAGCTCTCCGCGCCGGTGAGAGGGAGTGCACCGGTGAGAGGCAGCCCGGTGCGTCGTGAGAGTGGATCGAGGCCGCCCGGCCGCCCGCGGGTGGAGCCCGACCGGCCAGTGAAGGATGTTTGCTGCGTGCGCTGGCGGACGGCCCTGGCTGGGTTGTAGAAACGATCACGGCGACGGCAGCTGATCGGCCGAGACAGCCCAGTCCGCATACTCCTATATTTCAATTTCACATCTGCAATGACCTAGTCGCTGGCTACTGGGTTTGGAAGTCTTCTAGAATTTCAATTTCCGCAACGAAGGTAGATTTGAAGTTACACTCACGTCTGCTCTTATGTCCCTGCCTTCCAGTTCACTGTTCCTGATATTACCACTGTGTGCATGGTAGGGATATACGGGTTTATCCGAGCTCTAGTTTATGATTATACAAGATTACCCAGGGCCGAGGTTATGTTTCCGGTCAGGCGGGGCCCGAGTAGCGCGCCGGACCGATTTATGCTGTAAAATACTTCAGCACCAGTTTCATATTTAGCTCCCTAATATAACCGGACGGACAGCGGAAAATCCATCAGTCGTGCCGCCCCCGCTAACAAGGAAGCCTTATGGGCGGCGGCCACCATTCCCCCGGAATGCCGGCCAGCGCTGAAATAGGGCACCTAATGGCAACATAACTAGTCATATCTTTTAAGTCTCTCCCCATTCATGAGAGCAGAGTGCACGGGTACGCTACGTGGCGGCAATCTTGCCAGCGCGGTGAGAAAGCCGGTGAGCCGTGATGACAGGGCGTGTGTGCAGCGCCGCAGCAGCACGCAATGGGCCTATCTCTGTGGCCGTGCTGCATATATGGAGCACCATCGCCGGGAGCCCCGGCCGGGCGGTGGCTGCGACCGCAGCCGGCCAGACGGCGACCTTCTGATGAACACCACGCCGCCCGCGCCGGCCTCATAAGGCAATCAGTTACCGCGCCGCGCCGCTGAACTTTTGAGCGGCAATTTGGCTGCGGCGCGCGCCGACACGATGTCTTTATTGCCCTGTTGAATGGCTGTAGTCAGCTCACGGTATCGTTACGTCGGCCGCTGATGGATGGGTCAGGTCAGGTCAAGGTCAAGGTCTCCTACCTATCTTCCGGGTCAGCGCAGGTTTGCAATAAAGAACGGCTTTTAGTTCGGTGCCCCATGCATGCCTGCGCGCGTAAATTTAAGCGATACGTTGCCATTTTACTGCATCCAATCTCGAGCATTCCATACTGCATAGGTACTCAAAGTCTCAAACATTCATTTGTGTTTATACCCCAAACCAGCTCGACTGGGGGGCATTTGTAAATTAGATGACCCACTACATACAAGTTTAAAGCAGATTGCCTTGCATAACAGTGAATAAAACGCTTTACTCACGTATTTTCATTAAACCTGATGATTTTATAGGCTCAGCCTATTTCAATAAATCCTGGGCTCAGTAGTTTAATCACCTGTCCCATGACAGCCTATGAATGCCTCAATAAGCCGCGATTGACGAAATGCGCCAGGTGTGTCCCACCTACCGTGACTATTCCTACGCACCGCAGCCCTGTGCTGGTTTGCCCCTCCCCTCCTGAGGTCGCGCAAGACCGGCCGACCGCCAGAAATAATTCTGTTTGTCGCAATCGGAGGCGGTGCCAGCCGTCACGCACCGTATCGATAGCGAGGGGACTGTCACACGGCGGTGGTCTGTACCCGCTGACTGGAAGATGGTGCCACCACGGCGTTCATTCTGAGTCCGGCGCCGAGCCCGACCGAGCTGCCTAACTTGATAGAGCCGTAATGAGAGGGAGCGGGCTGAAGAGCGCCCGACCCTGGTCACTAAACTAGATGACTGGGCCTTCAGTCTGCTCTCGTTGCTGCGGAACTGCCTGTTCACGCGATTATCCAGATCAGAAGCTGACGGCGGATCGCGCCTTTGGCCGGCGCGAGCTGTTACCAGCGACCCGGGATATCCCAGATAAGTCCTAACGGACGCGGCGCCACCCTATCACGGGAACAGGAAGTCCGGGGATTTGCCTATCGTTATGAAGTATTGACATGGCTGCGACGCTCTGGCCTCCATCCCCCGTGGAGAGGAGCGCAAACGACCATTATGGCGACCCCGCTGAGGGGTCACACGACACCACAGGCCAGTGGTCCGCGGAGAGGACTGGCGCGCCTGGAGGCACCGCGGTCGGAGGAGGCCGGCTGACCGTATATCACGGCGTGACCGCTTCATGCTCCGTGATCACTTGTAATATCCTGGTTAGTGGGGAAACTGATGACCCCGGCTGGCCATTTCCTCCATTTGCACGGCGCGGCCGGAACGGTGCCAACCGCTATCTGCGCTCTCTGGGCCGCCCACGCCCCCCGCCGGCGCCGCTTCAGAGCGAGCCGTGAACGGGCCCGCGGCGTCACGATAGGGGCCTAATGACACGGCGCGTCTGGGCGCGCTCATTCGGGCGGAGGGGCAGATACGATAGCCGGGCTGAACGGGCGCTGATGAGGCGCTGATTGAGCCGGTGTACCGGCCGCTTCTTCCCTCTCTGCATCGAACTCCCCGTGTCCCTTCCCCGTCCACCAGTGACACTGCACTGGCTGAGCTGGGTCGTGCGTAGCTGGACTGTGTTCCGCCAAATTGTATGATACTCCTTCCCCGTACAATAGCAGTTTCAAAGACATTTTTCGTCTTTGGAAGTTAAAACGAATTGCGAAATCGTCGTAAACAAATTAGCTGATCAGCAAGGTGCAAATCCTTGCTGAAATGTGCGACTACAAAATGCATATTTGGCTACAAAGACACATTCGTTCAAATAGTCGCACAGCAACTTGCTCCGTGGGCTTTAAATTTGGGCAGCTCAGAATGTATTTAAAAGCAGAGTCAAATTCAAGCAAATCTGATCGAAATAAAGGCCATGGCGTTCTATCCTGAAGCG